TGGGTTGGTTGACTTCCTTATGTGTGCAGTGCCCCACATGACCTCACATTTATTATGGATTAGCCTTAATTTAAACCCTCTCCTTTTGAGCAAGGATGAATTTATCAGGAGCTGGCATCATTCACAAGACCTTTGTGACCCCCTACCACATCTAGATAGTAATCTAGAAAAGGCTATCCTGTTTAAACTGAAGCCTTTACTAAAAAAAAAAAAGTATTGAGAGATTTAATTGCAGATCCAAAATACCAGAATGCAGACCTGTCCTATTCAAACAGAATCTGGTAAAACAGAAAGTATATGGTGCTTTTGTTTCCTGTTGGTCTGTAAAGTATAAAATAGAACTTAAATATTATACATATAGATATATCATTATGCATCCCAAGTGAAAATCCCAAAGTGAAGTTCATCTTACGCATTTCATAAAATAGGGAGAGAGGATATAAACATTATTTCATATGCATCACACAGGAGGTGAAAGCTCAGGGCTTCCTCTGTTCCTCAATGTTTCCTTTACAATCAAATCCAAACTCAGGAACGTTCATCCTACATTTTAGAGCAACTAGGCAAATTTTAGACATGTGGAATCTCTTATTTTCCATTTGAACCCCAAGAGGTCTAGTAGCTGATAAAAAATGAAGATGCCCTCAAGTCACTCAACTCCTGATGACTGCACCCATGTTATTTCTCCAGGGACAAGAGCCATTGTGAGACAAAGCTTTAAAGAAATTTCAAACATTACTGAGTGATACCTCATCAACAACCACTTAACAATGCTCTCAAGAGTCCTGAAGCTCAAGAACAAAGAATCTGCTATCTTCCCCTCTAGGCAAACTTGGTAGACTGAACAGTGATATTCACAGGTTGAGCTAAGTCATGATTTATTTAATTACAGTAATACCTCGGTTCACGAACGCTTCTGTTCACAAACAATTCGGTTCACGAACAGCAGCATTTGCAAAATTTTGCTTCCGTTCGCGAACTCCGCATCAGGTGACAAATATAACCCACAGCCATCTTCCCTGCTCTGACACGTGGTCATGGCTTCCTCTAGGCGAGATTGCCTATACTTTGTTTCATATTTTTGTGGTTAAAAAAACAAATACATATGGTTCAGAACAGATTAGCCTTATTTACATTGAACCTTATGGGACAATTTGATTCGGTTAGCGACCAATTCGGTTGGCGACCACGTTCATAGGGGTCAGAATGGATTAACCTTATTTACATTGAACCTTATGGGGAAATTCGATTTGGTTCGTGACCAAATCGGTTCACGACCAGAATCGTGCAACAAATTAAGTACGTGAACCGAGGTACCACTGTATAGTTTTCAGAATAGGGCATAATTTGTTGTGTTCTCATATGATACTGGATGTGTTTGTACAATATATATACTCTTTATTCAATTAATCCATTTTCTAGGTTTCCATTACATAGAATAATAGAATTGGAAGGCACCACAGAGGTCATTTAGACTAATTCCCTGCTCAGTGTAGGATCCCCTATAGCATATTTGAGAAATGACCACTCAGCCTTTGTCTGAAGACTTCTCAGTGAAGAAGAACTCAACATTTCATGTGGCAGTTCATTCCACTGGCTGATAGCTTGTACAGTCAGGAATTTCCTCCTAATGTTTAACCTAAACTTCCCCCTTGTAATTTTTACCCATTAGTTCTGATCCTACCTTCTAGGCAATAGGGATTAAGGCCACTCCTCATTCTGTGTGACAACCCTTCAGCTGTTTGAAGATTGCTATTATATCTCCCCTAAGTTGTCTTTTCTGTAGGCAAAACATACCCATATCCTTTAACTGTTCCTCATAAGGCTTGGTTTCCAGACCCTTCACCATCGTAATAGCGTTCCTCTGAACTTACTCCAATTTGTCATTGTCTTTTTTGAACCATGGTGCTCAGAACCAGAGGCATTAATTCAAATGGATCTGACCAGGGCAGAGTAGAGTGGAACAATGACTTCCTGTGATTTAAACTTTGTGTTCCTGTTAATGCACCCCAAGATGGCATTTGCCTTTTTAGCAGCTGCATCACCGTGCTGGCTCATATTTAACTTATGGTCAACAAGGATAAGAGCCACTTTGGTGTAGCGGTTAAGGTGCCAGGCTAGAAATTGGGAGACTGTGAGCATTAGTCCCACATTAGGCACAAAGCCAGCTGAGTGACCTTGGGCCAGTCACTCTCTCTCAGCCCTAGGAAGCAGGCAATGGCAAACCACTTCTGAAATCTTGCTAAGAAAACTTCAGGAACTTATCTAGGCAGTCGCCAGGAGTCAACACAGACTTGAAGGCACCCAAATTCCTTTCACATGTATTAGTGCCAACGCAGGTCTCCCTTTATCCTGTACTTGTGTCTTTTGTTTTTCTTACCCAGATGCAGAACATTACATTTTTCCCTGTTAAATTATATCATCTTTATTTCAATCCACTGCTCAAATCTGTCTAGAGGTTTTTGACTCTTCCCTCTTTTATCTAAGGCATTAGCTATACCTGACAGCTTTGTGTCATCTGCAAACTTGATAAGCATCCCCTCAGCTCCTTCATCCAAGTCATGGGTAAAAATGTTGAACAGCTCAGGGCCCAGGAAAAAGCCCTATGACGCTCCACTGAAACTCCCCTCCAAGCTGGAGTCATTAAGAAATATTCTTGTGGTATGGTTATTCAGCCAAATGTGAGTTCATCTAACAGTAGTATCGTTTAGTCCATATTTTATCATTTTATGAAAGAGAATATCATGAGGCACTCAGTAAAAATGTTAATACACTATGTCTAGATAATTCCTTTGATTTACTAAGCTACAAACTTTATCAAAAAACGAGTTAAGGTTAGTCTGGCACAATTCATTTGTGACAAATCCATGCTGGCTCCTATTAATTGTCACATGCCTATCCAAATGTTCACAAACACCAACAGTAAAGGAACCAGCAGTCAAGAAAGATGCCACAGACTAGCTCTTGGTAGAGTAGCAATGAAGACCTTTGAAATGTTTTCAGATGCTGTGATGCGTGTACACCTACGAAGATTGGAATCACGCAGGCAATGGCTTTCCTCGTGATACTGTATGGAAGCAAATTTGGACTCTGAAGAAGCAGGATTAAAAGAGTATTAATGATTTTGAATTTTGGTGTTGGAGAAGACTCCTGGGATTACCATGGATAACCAAGAAAACAAATAAATGGATCCTAGAACAAATCAATCCAGAGTTCTCACCTGAGGCACAAATGATCTGGTTCAAATTATTCTATTTGGACACTTTCTGCAAAGACATAGCTTTCTGGAAAAAGTTCTGATGCTGGGAAAGATGGAAGGAAAGAGAAGAAGAGGATTACCAGCAGCAGGATGGATGGACTGAAATACAGTGGTGACAAGTGCACCATTGGAAGATCTGAAGGACCAGTTTGGGGACAGATTGTCCTGGAGAAAATCTATGTGGTTGACATTGACTTAATGGTACATAATCAATCAGTTGAAGATCTTACCCAATATAGATGTCAAGCTAGTATGTGTATAGTTTCCCAGATCCCTTTTTTGTCCACTTTTTGAAGATGGGGTGACATTTGCTCTCCTCCAGTGATCTGGAACTTCACCAGACCTTCAGGAGTCCCCAGAGATTACCAAGAGTGGTTCTGCAATCACTTCTACTAGTCGCTTCAGTAGTTGAGAATGTAATCAATCTGGCCTGGAGGCTTGAATCCATTTAAATTACTAAATTTTCTTTTACCCACTCCTTTTCCCAGTGACATAACCATGATCAGCTAGGCCTCCATTTCCCTTCTGAGAGGAGATAGGCAAAATAAGAATTAAGAAGTTTTGCCTTCTCATCATCATCTGTTACTATTTTACCACTTTCTCCTCACAATGGATGTACATTCCCTCTGGCTTTTCTTTTACTTCTAACATACAAATAACACTTTTATGGGTTTCTGGTATCTCTCACAAGCCTCAGTTCATTCTGAACCATTAACCACATTATCTGGGATCATACAACACACTGTACCACAGACTAGGCAACCATATTTTAACCTAGCATATTGTGAAAATGGGGTTCACAGAATTAAAGGATTACGGTACCTGGTTTATTTGGTTTTGGATTATCCCACTATGTAAACCATCACTGTGATGTGTACGTTGTCGTTTATGGCTTAATGTGTTTTGCACATGTGGTACTCTTTCACAAGAACATCTCACAAGGCTTTTGTGAGAAGAAAAGTGGTGCAAGAAATCACGTGCACTAGCTAGAGTTCCTTGCAGGAAGTATTGAAAAAATACTTTTAAAAAAAGTTTACATCATTCTGAGGTGGCACCAGATGTTTAGGAAGTTTTCTGAAAATAGCTACTGTACCACTAAGTTACCTATCGAAGATAAACGTGTGAACAGAACGTAAACGTGTCTGTGAAACAGCTCTGCCCGCGTGGGCCACGCTGAACCATATGCCGTGTGGACACAATATGGCACAAAAGCCCAGCCTTCTTCATATCGAATAAGAATCGGGGGAGCCTCCCTGCTTACCGTGTATTCCAAGACAATTCCGTCTGCAGCAGCAGCGTCGTTCCTGAAGGGTTAAACCGGCGCCCCCCACCTCCCGCCCCCTTTTGGAGAACGCTGCTGAACCCAGCTCGCTCCGATCTGAAAAGGCACCTCCAAGCACTTGTGCGCCTAGAGCGCGCGGAGCTCCCCGTGAAGGCTGGGTGCCCTTGGACCTTAGCTTTTCTTCGGCTCCTTGTTCTAAGAAGCCAGCATTAGCCTTCCTGGGTGCCCTTGGACCTTAGCTTTTCTTCGGCTCCTTGTTCTAAGAAGCCAGCATTAGCCTTCCTCCCCCCCCCGCCCCCTCCTGCTTCTGGCCTTAGCCCCCGTCGCCGGGGCCCTCCGCAGTCTGGGAGGATGAGTCTCTAAGTCATCCCAGGGGCTCGGAGACCTCCCCGCGTCTCCTCCGCTTGGCGCGCCCAGGTTGTTGCAGTCCGAAGCGCCTCTCCGGACGGCGTTCCCAAGATGTATCTGGTTTTCTTTTGGTGCTCCTGCTGCCTGTGGGGGTGTACCTTCGCGACAGGATTTCTCTATCAGTTCCCGGCGTCGACTCTGCCACACAATTATCCCGAGCAGAGTCCCGGCGGACCGTCGGGCAATGCCTTCGCCAATCGTCGGTGAGTAAGCCGGTCTCCTCCGCCTAGCGTCGTCGCTTGGAAGGGCCGGGCAACCACGGCCTCTTAAGAACCAATGGCTCGATTGTGAAAATGGGGAACTTCGTTTCTAAAAGAATAGAAGCGGAGTTTTAATCTTGCCTGCACGTTTCTTTGGACCAGCTGTGAAAGTCGTGGCCCTTGGCGTCTCCCTACCCCGACCCCCCACCTCCCCCAGCTTCCCAGACGGTTATGGGTTTTTTGGTTTGTGACTATCCTGGACTGATTCAGTATTAGTTACACATCTGAACTATTGCAGATTTCCTTCCCTTTTCCTCTCCTTTTTGCTCCTTATGATCTGTCTCCTTCTTATAATGCCAGTAGTCTAGTCTGTGTAATCTTTCTTTCTCAAAAAAGGGAGGTGTTAGGAACTACTGGGAGAAAAGCCACGCCGTAGTTAGATGTCCCCACAGGAGATGTGATACCAGAGAGTGGGCACAACTGTTCTATTTTCAAGCTGCTTTTGTACAGCTTTTCTCTCATCGAATGTGTGAATGCAGCTGTAATTGGGTGGTAGTGTTTGCACATCACGCTTCACTAAGCCAGTTAAAGACCTCCTGGTTGTATTTGCATAATTTGCAAGCTTCATTAATTCATAGAGTTCATAGAATAATTTTAACCTTGGTGGTGGTTGCAGCTGTTCATGTCGCTTAGCCTATTCTGTTTGGTCTAGTTAGTGGTTCAGTGTGGACCCAGAAAGTATTAATTTAGTAGCCTAGTTAAACTAATTTAGCATTTCAGGCATACGGGCGTCACCATTTGTCTGCCAGCCTCAGAGCTTTGGGTCATTGTTAAGAACTCAAATGACTGAGTGCGTTGTGAATCTGCCCTGGAGATCTGCTTGAGATGTTCTAGATTTCATACATCACTAGCAGTATGTGGAAGAGTGTTTGTAGGGTGTGTGCCTGTGGATCATGGGTTTCTGTTTTTCCACCACCACCAGTGTACTTGGCACTTTACATAATCAGGTCCCTGCTCCTATGGAGTTTGAAACCTAAGAGCAGACAAAAAGAACACTGAGGGAGAAATGGAAGAATGCCGTTATACGAACTTAAGCTTGGTGGCAACTGGGGTACAGATTAATGGCTCTAAGTAATTCCACACTGCTGACTTATAATGTCTTCATAGCATCATCCAGCCATCTTTGAAGTCTGACCACATTACTATTATCCTGGCACAATGATGGTTGGGTGACACTAGAAATGCTGTGAATTGCTAGCATGGAAACAAAGCCAAGCGCCGTGCAAAAAAAGATGCATTTTGAGAAGAGACTTGAGACAAAGCCGAATGGAGGTAGCCTGTGCATGTCAGAGGAGCAGTCCCAGGGACTCATGGATACCCACCTTGGCAGCCACTAGGCTACACGCCCCACTTGATTTCATTTCATTTCATTTCATTTCATTTCATTATTTTTAGATTATTTTAATTAAGAACGTAAAATGGGACTTATCCAGCTGCAAAGCAGAGAATTAGTTTCAGGAGTACTATTGCCCGGAATGCTTTTGGAGTCTGCATATACTTCAGAGATATTCTTAGAGAACCAGGGTTATTAGAGGTTGCAGTTTAGTGCTTTGTTTGGACATGCGCCCAACGGCCCAGAAAAAAATCAGAGATACATTGAGGTGGTAGTGAACTTCCAGAAAGGCTAGAGGAGGCGATGAGGAGCAACCTCACCACTTTGCCTTCTGGAAAATGGGTATTTTATGACTGGACTGGCAACCTGGCAGTCATTTTGTGAGAGAGCTATAGAGCATGCTTTTACATTCCAAATGTATCTGCTAGCCTAAAAAGATAAGGAACTGCCCTGTGTCACCCTTCTAGATTTCTCCCTTGCCAAGATCAACTTGCCATTTGCAGCATTATAATGTTCAAGATGAAGAAACTTAACTTCAGTCTGATGTGGAGGCTTTGGTTCCTGGAATGAACCAAACTGGAGAAAGTCTATGGCTCTTTCTAAGTGCAGCAACTCTGTTTCTGGGATCATCACTGAGTAGAACGAAGCTCTAGAGAAGATTTCTGTGTGGTTGTAGGGATAATCAAAGATCCAGAACTTCCTGTCATCCAGAGAAGCAATTGAAAATGAATATGTAATGTTCGTAGCATCCAATTAGTGAATTATACTCTATTAAAGAAGAAAGCAAATGTAAATGTACTCAATTGTAATTAGAATTCAGATTAAATCTGATCAAATGCTTATTATTGTAAAGCAGGTGCATCTTTCCTAACTTGATATCCTCCAAATATACTGGACTTCAAGTTCCTTTGGCAGTGCGGGCTGGGGATCATAGAAGATGAAGTCCAATATATTTAGAAGACACCAAGTTGGGGAAGGCTCATCTCCAAGAGATAGGGTCTCTCAAAGAAGAGTGGGCTGTTACCTATATTTGAAGTGGTTAAGAGGGGTAGAGATGGCTAGCTGATAGTAGTAGAGATGGAGAAGCAAAGTCCTTGGTTGTAGACATAACAAGATATAACTATTATGTTACAAATATGGCAACCGTGAATCTGTGTTTCTATTACATGGGGTCCAAACCTATGGCTTATTTATTTGTTTACCAAGGTTTATATGCTGCTCCACCCAAAAATGACTCCAAGTAGCTTAGATTCCTCATTAATGTAATAAGGTTAAATTACACTTAAATCAACATTATTGAAACCAAATGGCGTAGGAAGTAACTATCATTCCCACATAGCCATACCTATCAAATCACAACAATCACTTAGTGTTCCTTCTGTAGGAGCCACTTAATATTCCTCCATTCCCAAATGCCCTGTGGAAGGTCTTAATTGCCTTGCGAACAACAACTTGCATGGGGCCATCCTTATCTCTGAGGGCTGTTGTTCAAGAGGAGAGCTCTTTTCAGCCCTTCAAGGTAGTCCAGCAAGAAGCACAAATCATGGATACTAACCATGGATACTAATACTACCTTTATTGTAAGATTACAGTAACAGAATCTTGCAAGTCTGAAAGTCCTTCTCCCCTCCTTTACCTTTACTTTCCAGAAAACTAGGGAGGGTCCCTTCTGAGATGCTTTTCAGAAGGGACCCTCCCTAGGGTCTACCCCCCTTTTCCTTCTGTGGGCTGAGATATCTTTTGCATGACAGTTGTCTAGGCTGCAGCTCTGTTTCCCAAGGTCATTCCCACATACCATTACAGCTCTCCATTGGGGACCTTGGTGACAGCTTCCCTAGGAGTCAGGACCCACAACAAGCCTTTCCTACTGGATCTCACCAAATGGATAGAATCTATTCAGAGAAACTGGTTTTGCAGGTTCCCCTGTCCTGAGCCATAAAGGGCTTCAAAAGTGCCAGCCAGCATCTTGATGTGCCCCCAGAAGCCAACAGGCAACCAGTGCAGATCCCAAAGTAGTGATACAAAGTATGAGTCATGAGATGCCCGATATCTTCATCACATTCCAAATGTTTTATATTTTTAGTTTCAGAATACTTTCCATATGTAGCGTGAAACTTAAAACTTAAAAGCAAAATGTAAGGAAAATTGGAAGAGAACGTTCTACAGGAAGAAATGTAGATCCGTGCGGTTGATATTACATGATACATTGCAAATTGACTGAATGATCTCCTGAGTTCTCTAGAATTCTTCAAGGTAAAAGTATTTTAAGTAAAAAAATACCCAAAGTTGGCTATTAAATAAAATACATACATTGGTGGCTATGATATATATATAAATAAATTGTCAACTATGTAGTTTATAATAGTTTTGATGAAATGAAAGAAGCATTATGAAGTTGCATTGATTATTATTATGTATTATTATTAATTTATAATATATAATTACAATGTCATAATAATAATCAATGCAACTTCATAATGCATAATAATAATCAATGCAACTTCATAATGAAATGCTAATAATTTGAGATGTTCTTATGATACCACTTGGATAATTATGAAGTTGCATTGATTATTATTATGTATTATTATTAATTTATAATATATAATTACAATGTAATTATTACATTGATATTAATTTCTAATGGATCTGTATTTTTTGTTTGATACCAAATGCATTAAACATTAAATATGTATGTAATGGAAAATGCCAAATGAAGGGTGGCTTCAGAAAAGGCAGAGGGACACAAGATCAGAGAGCTAACATGTGATGGATAATGGAGAGGAAAGAGAATTTAAGGAAGAAATTTACCTTTGTTTTTTTGACTACAGCAAGTTTTTGATCATGTAAACCATGCCAGAACATGGAACACATTAAAGCTAATGGGAATGCCAAAACTTCTGATAATTCATCTCAGGAACCATTACAATGAATAAGTAGCTACTGTAAGAACTGAGTTTGGAGAAGCAGAGTGATTCAGAATAGGGAAGGGAGTAAGACAAGGATGTTTGTTGTTCCCCTATCTGTTTTACTTATGCAGAGGATATATTATAAGAATGGTAGGTTGGAAAAGATGGGTTGGAAACAAAGGGCAGGTCAAAATGCTAATAATTTGAGATGTTCTCATGATACCACTTGGATAGGTCAAAGTAAAGAAGGCTTAGAAGGGCTCATTATGAAAGTAACAATAGAAAGTGAAAAACCTGGCATCAACCTGCACATTTACTTTACCTACAGTTGATGCCAAAGAAGTGAAGGGGGTCAATAGTCTCGTTTGCTGAAGTTCAAGAATAGATGAAGATGGATGACAAGGGTGTTCATGCAGTGGGAAAATGTTTAGTTTCCAAACTGAAACAAGCCTTCAGGTTTCAAGTATTCCACCAAACCATTTTGGCCAGGCATAGTTTGGCAGAACTGAAATCCAGAACACTGGTTGTTTCAGGTTTCAAACGAAATCTAGATGGTGAGCAGGTAAGGCTGATGAACATCAAGGCTTCTCTTCCACCCCTCAATATTTATTTATTTATGTATTTGGTTTGTATGGCTGCCCATCTTAGAGTACAACTTAGGGGAGCTCACAACAACAATAAAACCACAGAACAATAAAACC